AAGGTCAAAGATAAAGGTACAAAGAATGAAGGGATGGATAAAGAGTAAGAGACTATAGAATGAACAAAGAATGAAGGGGTGGTCAAAGGAATAGAATGATGAAGTAAGGAAGGGTAGTAGTAAGAGTCAGTACACATATAGTCTATAGACAGTACCTCTAAGAGACAGAAGTCCTGAGTTCTAGTACAGAAGGGTGCAGAACCCTCAGAACTGAAGGTAAGAGAGTAGAGAACTGTAACATCACCCCCCCTCTAAAACCAATTGTCCTGATTAGTGAACATTAGGCTTGGTTAGCAGTTCAGGCATAAGTCAGAATGGTAGGGTTTAGAAATCTGTGAGGCAGAGTTGACACAGAGCACTCAGATGAAGTTAATAGAAGTCTTAGATTGTCTTAGTAGTATGAGTAAGATTCTCAGCAGGTTCCCAAGTGTGTTCTTCAACTAGGTATCCCTTCTAGTAGATAAGGAACTTGAGCTTTCTGTGTACTAGCTTAGTGTCTACTATGTACTCTACTTTATATTCTGGTTTGGAACTAATGAGTTCTGGTAGAGACAGTAGGAGTCTTTGTTGTAAAGGAAAACTTGGATTGTAGTACTAAGACAGTAGAACCTTGTTAAACACTAGGTGTATGTGCTTCCATGTTGCTAGAAGTTGGAGTTTATAGGCAGAGGCACCAACCTTCTTTTCAATAATAAAGGGTCTAAAGCACTTGTTGTCCAACTTCTTCATTAGGCAATCTGTAGTCAGGTTAGTAGCTTCTAGTATAACTTTGTCACCAGGCTGGTAATCCTTGGCTACAGACCTCTTCTGATCATAGTTCTACTTTATAACCTGTACTACTTTTTCCAAAAGAGCTTGTGTGTCCTCCCTGGTTCTGTGTATTTGTTCTACAAAGTCTGTTATAGATTCAGAACTACTGTTCCAGTTCAGAACTGTCCCCTAGTACAGATGTCTCTTATAATTGAGGAAGAACAGAGACTGTCCTATTGTAGAGTGTTACTAGTTATTGTGTACAAATTCTGTCAGAGCTAACCATTCAGACCAATCTGATTACTGATGATTGATAAACATTTAGAGGTAGAGCTTGATCTCCTGATTGACTCACTCAGTTTGACTGTTAGTCTGTAGGTGATATGTAGTAGAAGGGTTCCCTTGAATTCTGAGAAGCACATACAAGTCCTATATGAATTTTGACTCAAATTACAGTCTACAATTGTGAATAAGCTTCTGAGGGAGTCTGTACAACCAGAAGACATGATTCTAATAAATGTGTACCATACCTTCAGAAGTAAGTTCTGTTTAGGTTGGAACTGTGTAGACTTGCTTAGAGAATCAGTCAACAATTACACAGATAGTGTTGTAACCCTAAGACTCAGGTAGCTTACTAATCAGGTCTACTGAGACTTCTTCCTAAGAGTGATCCAGGATCTAATACAGATGTAGGGGAGCTCAAACCCTTGTCTGGTAGGCCTTAGTCTGTTAGCATATATTGTAACTAGTCACATACTTCAGGATTTCTCTCTATATTCCTGACTACTAGTAGTTCCAAGTAATGAGTTCCTGTGTTTTGTGTTAGCCTGAATGTCCTATAGTTGGATTGTTGTAATGAGCTCAGACAATGTTCTCCTACAGCTTCTGATCCTTCAGAATGTACAGTCAGCCTTCCTAGTAAACCTGTCTATCCTCATCCTCCTCCTAATCTCTAGCCTGCTTCTCTAACTGCTTTACTACAACCTAGTCCTGTGTGTGTCTCAGAGCTTACTGTATGTAAGTGACAAAGTCAACATTCTCAGATTTGAGTCAGATCTCTCAGATTGTCTTGGACACAAAACAGGAATTGTCTAGGAGAACAAGATTTTTGTTATCATTCTCCTCCCTTTCATAACCTACTTGTCTTAAGAGTAAATCAGCTTTTGTCATTTGTGTTCTAGGTTTGTAAGTTAACACAAAGTTGTAGTCCTACAGTTCTAACATCTAGTAGGCTTAATAGTGGTTGAGCTTCTGAGGTGCTTGGAAGTACTGGAGATTAAGGTGATCACTCCAAATCTTAAACTTCTGTACAGTACTAAGAAGATATTAACACTACTCCTCTAGGGAACAGACAATTGTAAGGAGTTCCTTGTTATAGATAGGGTAGTTCTGTTCTGTTATAGAGAGGGATTCTGATTGGAACACTATTGGACACTACTTTCTGTCAATGAACTGGAACAGTACTACTCTATTAGTAAAGTTGG